ACCTTCAAGATAGTCATGAGATAGAAGAAGAATATATATATATATATTCCTTCTGATTTGTAGCTCAGGAAAGAAGACAATGAGTGATTATTTCCACCCGGTGTCACTCAGCTAGGCCCATAGGTATCACTAAAACCTGCCTGGTTTCCTAAAATCTTAGTGCACCATCTTGAAGATGAGCAGGAGGGGAAAGGGGGAAAGAAAATGGAAGATTGACTAAATGTGAAAGTTATGGGGATTGGAAGTTTATATAGCCTAAGGGTGTATTGAAGAAAATAACTTAGATGTTCATTTTAAAGATAGTCTTGATTTAGATATGAATGTTTCCTTAGCCTCCAAAGTAATAATAATTTAACACAATCTGCTGCTGTAGTTTCAATGTACGGGGAAATCATGGAGACTAGTATAACGCTTGCCTTAAAATAACGTCAAGGGGTGAATCAGCCTTACAGAATTAAAGCCATAGCAGCCTCTTGAGGTGCTTCCGGAAGAGCACAGAGTTGATATCGAGATACTGGGATGGAAATTGTTACAAAATAAGGAAACTTGAATGCCATCTAGTTAGAGTATCTGCCTCTCTGCCCCTTTTGGTTTGAGTGTGCCGATAGACTGTAAGAAGGTTCCCTTTCTAACTGGCCCAACTACACCTTCGACTAGTCTCCTCCATTGTCTTAAGTACAACTAGAAGGGGTTGGGGAAGGCAGATGAAAGGGCAAACAAGATATGCAGATCAGTAATGCATCTTCACATCGGGAATGTCAGTTAGTGCCCTGGGACTGGAGATTTTACACAGAGGCCTGCGCAGTAGAAATCAAGAGGTCACCTCCAACCGACTGCAGGCTACTTGGACAAAGTAAGCAAAGCTGAATGCTTTTTTTTTTTTTTTTAAACTGCTGGAAGTTCACATTCTACTGTGATTTAAGAAATTATCCTTGTTCAAAAGATCCGTGTAAGGACCCTTGAGCACTTTGCAGAAGATGGTTTATTTTTTAAAAAAGAAGCAAAAATTCATCTAATCATAAATGTAAGGAGCCCTGGTGGTGCAATGGTCAAGTGCTCGGCTATTATAGTAAAGGTTGGTGGTTCAAACCCAGCCACTCTGCGGGAGAAAGACTTGGTGAATCTGCTCCCCTAAAGATTCCAAAACCAAACCAAACCCCTTGCTGTGGAGTCCATTCTGACTCATAACGACCCTACTGGACAGAGTAGAGCTGCCACATATGGTTTCCAAGGAGCGGCCGATGCATTCAAACTGCCAACCTCTTGGTGAAGTTAGCAGTCAGACTCTTAACCACTGCACCACTAGGGCTCTCCCCTAAAGATGACAGCCAGGAAAACCCTATGGGCAGTTTTCTGCCACATGAGGTTACTATGAGTCAGAATCAACTCCAAAGTACCCAAGAATAATCAAAATTGTAAACTGTTAAAGATACATTTGTTTACGTAACTTCATTTGATCTTCATATCACAGGTGAGAAAATGGGGTTTAGAGGTTGTGGTCTCCAGACTACCAAACTGGTAAATAGCAGCAAGTCTCTAAAACAAGCTGCAAATGTGGCCCTAACTCAGTGGCCATTAGAAGAGCATACACCTCTTCTTCCAGATCTATAGCTGAGATTTCTTTCATTTTCTGCTTTTGCCTCCCATCCGAGTGGCTGTGAATAACAGCAGCAAGATTACTGCAGTTTATATACTTAGATTGCTATTTAAAATCTGTTTTCTTGACTAATAGGACAAGTAGAACTGTCCCATAGAATTTCCAAGGAACGGCTGGTGGATTCGAACTGTCAACATTTTGGTTGGCAGCCGAGCTCTTAACCACTGCGCCACTAGGGCTCCTCTTAACTAATATCCGCATCTCTCTGGATATTATTAGAAGTGAAATTCATTGCAATTTTCGTTGCTGAGATTAGCAGTCCATTTTGTTAGCTTTATTAGATGAAAGTGATAAAGGCATGGATTATTAATGGCAAAGACTCGGGTTGTCTTCTCTCCATATATACCTTTTTTGGCATGAGTTCCACAACACTGGTACATTTCTTGTCCATATTTATCCCAAATGGACATTTCCCCATTCTTTACGTATATTAGCACAGTGCTTACATTACTTTACTGTTTAAAAGAAACATCTTGTGCAAAAAGATCCTTTTAAAATGGTAGACGGCTCACAAATTTGTTTTTCTTAAATATTATTCAAGAATCTCCCGCGCCTTAGTTTGACCTTAGTTTCAAAGACCCATAATTATCCTGGGGAAATCTCGCCGAGCCCCAGTTCCGGAGAATCGGGGTGGGGAGCGGCGCCGAAGCCACTACCTTCCAGTGCTGTCAAAACTTGGCCCTTTCCGAGTCCACAAAGAGGCTGAGTAATCAGAGCGCGCTCTGCCCCACCTCTCCCCAGAGCGCGCGCGCCCCCTGGCGGCCTGCGCGGAGGAGAGGGCCCCAGGAGGGCCGAGGGATTCCAGGGGTCCAATCCCCGCCCAGCGAGGGGGGACGCTCAGAGCTGCAAAGTCTTGCTGCCAGAAATAAACCAGGGGGCCCCAGCGCGGGCTCCTAAGCCTCTAAGGCTGCCGCTGCCCCTTCGCGCCGCGTCCGCGTGTTCCCTCGGCTTGCTCCAGGGGTGATTGTGTCTTGGCGTCGGAAGCGCCGGGGACCTCCCTTGCGGCGACGGCCCTAATTTCCCCGCCTTTTCGGTAGCCTGGGGAATTTACAGGCCGCTCGGAGCCCCGAGCCCTGGTCTCCGCGTTTCCCGGGGAGCGGGTTGCGAGCCTATCGGTCGCCGGGGTTCCAGGCCGCGCGCGGGGGCGCCAGGGGAAGGGGGTGGAGCCCCGGGAAGGGGAAGAACTTGTAATCGCTTGCAGTGGGACAATGCCGACTTTTGAACCTCTAACCACTAAGCAAACAACCCTTGTGCTCTTGCTCCACTGTCCAAACAGGGTTTATTGACAGGCGTTTCACGGCAACGCATAGCAACGGCGGCGGCTGCGGGGCCCGACCCGGCGGGCGGTGGGCGCGGCCGCACGCAGGCCCCGCGCTTCTCCACAGACCTCGAGCCCCAGGCGGGCCCGGGCCCCACGGGCGCCCTCTCGCACAGCGGGCTCCGGCCTGGCCGCCTCCTTCTCCAGGGAGCACAGCACCCCCTGCCCTGGGGAAACTCCGCTCCCTGTCCCCGCACCCAGGAGGCTGGCCACGGCGCACCCGCCAGGTCCCCTTTCTCAATCCCCGAGAGGAATGAGTCACCCGGAAGGTCCGCCGAATTGGGGAGGTGCTTCGGGGGCTATTTACGCTTCACTCATCCTCGCCAGCCCTCGGGGCACCTCCTCCCTCTGTGGAGTTGCTGATTAGGACTAAAGGTGCTTGTGAGATAATCAAAATGGAGGGCAGAAAACCTCAAGGACCACAGCCAGGTCCAACGGATCAGCCAGATGACAAGCAGCCATCACTAAAAGGATCTTCTTACACTGGTTTTTTAATTCTTGTCTGTGGGGGTGTGTGAGAGGATGGGGCTAAGGCAACCACGAGGGACAGGCGTGCTGGCTCACGGAACCGTCCAGTGAAGGTGGCCAGGATTTTCAGAAGACTGCATTCATGGGAAATGTTGTCTTGGGAAAACAGAAAAAATATGTATTTTTACTTAATGGCTTATGTTTAACTAGCTGGACTGTGGGAGGGAGTCACTGATGAAGGGAATTGCCTAGTGTTGGCAATCGCCTTGGTGTGGACCTGATGAGATGCTATGAGGGGGCTCTCGTTCGCTCTCTGTCTCTCTCTCTCTGTCTCTCTCTCTCTCTCTCTCTAGCGCTCTCTCTCCAGCTCCCCGTAATTCCCAGCAGCTGGGAACCCGCTGACCATTCAGATGTTCATTTTGCCCAAAGGCACCCCGGGAGAACCGCACATTCCACAGTATAAGGCAGGGCTCAGGCTTGGGGGCAGGGAAGGTCTCAGAACCTGCTCCCTCAGGCTTCTGACCCTCTGGGGTAAAAGGAGGCTGTCTAGATAACCTTCTCCGCCCCCTCCCTGATTTTTCAAATTCTAGTTTGTAACCAGAGGAGATCATTCATTTTTTAAAAAGTACAACTCCAGACAAAATCTGAGGAAGATAAATACAGAATCTGAAATCCGGAAAGCTCATTTATCTCTTCTCTTTTTAGAAAATATTCAGCTGTGTTCAGATACCCCCACTTCCCTTCACCGTATCACTTCTCTCCCCATGGATCCAGAAGGCTTTTAAAATGCTGGCTTGGATGTTACACAGACCAACAACCCAAACAGCAGCAACAACAACAACAAAAACTCCCCCTTCTTCATCAGCCCCAAGATTGTGAAAATGACAGGAAGTCTAGGTTGGCTCTGGCGTTTATAGCACGGACATACATTCAGCCCAGAGGAGCTCTGGTGACAGGCTTTCTAAACAAGAGCCTCCTTGCCAGGCCTGGAGTCCAATAACCACCCCCCTCACACCATACACCGCACACACCCCAGCCAAGCCTGTCCTGGTCTGGAAAGGGAGGAGAAGAAAGACGCAGGCCACCTGGGGGTTCTGCAGTCTTGGGTCCAGGTTTCTATCTTAGCCGCCTCTGGCTTCTGCAGTGAAATCTTGCCTGCCCCTGAGGCAGGAGGGCCAGCTGGTCCTTGGAAGGCAATGAACAGCAGCCATCTTGGCTCCAGGCATTGCCTTTGCTTGAGTCCCTCTCCCCCATTAGTTGGAACCAGAGATAGTCCTGCAAGTCTTGAAGGTGACCAGTGGGGGCGGGGGGGCGGGGGAAGGAGGGGGCGGAAAGCCTGGGCTGCCTAGCCAGCCTAGGCAATGCTTCTGCCAATACTCAATGAAGCCCCGCTGGTCATTACTTGTCTCCTCATTGACAGAAAGAGTCAAATGGGGAAAAAGTCAAAATCAGGGAGAATATCTTCCTGGAGGCTCCCAACCCCACTTGTCTTTATGCCTGGCCCCCATTTTTCCCCTAAGAGCTAGGTGAGTAGGTGTACATTTGTCGGTGTCGAAGGGTCTCTTGTGGATTCCAGCAGAGTCCATGTTCCTCATGGCTCAGTCTGGAATTGCTCCGCTGCAGGCCTGGAATTGCTTGGCCGCTACAGGCCCCTGTGAGTCACTGGGTGACAGTGGGGTTTAGCACCCCCCCAGCTGGCCCCAGCACCCCAGGGACTGAGCCAGGCACTGAGCCCTGCAGGGAAGACACAGGACTCAAGGGCTCAGGGACACTTCTCAGGGGACCCGGCTGAGGCGGAGGCGGAGGCGGTGGCGGCTGCTGTGTCTGCTGTTGCTGCTGCTGCTGCTGCTGCAACTTCTTCTTATTGATTTTCCTTTCCTTAGCTCTGCGGTTCTGAAACCAAATTTTAACCTAGAAATGGAAAGGGGGAGAAAAACAGAAGATGGTGAAGAAGAAAGAGAGGGTGTGAGGGAAAAGAGGAACAGTATCCAGCGCTACCCAGCTACCTCCCACCTGGTTCTCTCTCCAACTACAGAAGGATCCTGATCCAGAAACCTTTCACTGGTATCTCCGTTAACAGCCCAACCCAGGAACCGGTCCCAAGCCCAGTTCAGCCTCATGTAAAGAGTCTTCCTCCCTCCTTGCTCCTTCCTTTCCAAAACAATCTTTATCTACATCTGTACTAGAAAAGTTCAGAGCCTCGGAACCAAGCAGAAACTGCAAGAAAGAGGCCAGCACTGGGTGTACTCCAAATGGCAACCTTTGGCCCCTTGACGATAAACTGAAATGTAATATTCCTTACCTTGGAGCTGGAAATGAGATTTCATGTGGGGCTTCCTGGCTATGAATTTGGCCTCCCCCACCCTGCCCCCACCGGCCGATTATATAGAGTTTTCATGAGCCAAGCCTGCCCCTTCTAGGTTTTGTGGGCACGGATTGGGTCTTATATTTATTTTTTTCTCAAGTACGGTGTTGGGCATAAAGAAAACTGGTGTTTTAATAAGACTTTATTGACTCAAATAGAATTCTGGATTAAGCTAACACTCTCCTGGCTTTTTCTTTCATTTCCCAGATCCCCCAAAACAGAAAAAAATATTCAACAACCCCAAAAGAAAACTAAAGGTGGAAGGAGGCTTTAAAAAAAGTTGTGTGCTGTTGAGTCCATTCTGACTCATAGTGACCCTATATGGGTTCACCTTGGCTGCTAACCTAAAGGTTGGCTGTTCAAACCCACCCAGCAGCTCAACGGGAGAAAGACCTGGTGATCTGCTCCTGTAAAGACTAAAAAAAAAGCAAGACAAAACAAAAACCCAAACCCATGGCCGTGGAGTCTATTCCGACTTACAGTGACCCATAATGACCTAGGAAACCCTATGGGGCAGTTTTACTCTGTCTTACAGGGTTGCTATGAATCAGAACCAACTTAGGGGCACACCGCAACAGAACTGCCCCGTAGGGTTTTCTAGGCTGTAATCTTTGCAGAAACACATCGCCAGGTCTTTCTCCCAATGAGCCTCTGGTGGGCTCCAACTATCCACCTTTCAGTTAACAGCGCGGCCCTTAACCATTGCGCCACTAGGCTCCTTAAAAAAAAGGAATCAGAAGGAAGATGCTCTTCCACCCTTCTACCTTAATCCACCCACTTTCTATGTGGATTCTGAGGCCTGGCTTTCTGACTTAACCCCAAGAGGACTCCCCCATCACACCCTCCCCCAGTGGTGCCCAGGCCGCAGGAGGAACAGGGCGGTTCCCACCTGCCTCTCCGAGAGCCCCAGTGTGGCAGCCAGCTCAGCCTTCCTCCGGATGGTAATATAGCGACTGTAGTGAAACTCCTTCTCCAGCTCCAGCCGCTGGTGGTCCGTGTACACCACTCGATATTTGTCTTTCGTCCTGGTTTTCACTGTGGAGCACAGAGAAGTTAGGGCCCAGAACTACAAGGCGGCCCATCAGTCATGGGTAATGACAAACCTCCTTAACCCAAGGGTCATTTCTCTTCCTCCACCACCCTGGGGGGCCAGGTTTGGCTGGTTCCTGCCGAGTCTGACAAGACCCCCCACAGGGACCTGGGGGGAGAGTGTGGGACCACGAGGGTGTGTGGCAACTAACTAACCTTGAGGTTAAGTGGTTTTTAAAAACTAAGAAGAACTAGTTTTATGCACACAGAATATAACAGAACACCACAGCCATTTTTTTTTTTTTTTTTGGGTAAACCGTCTATGGAGCCACCTAAGCGCAAAGGGAAAGGGGGGACAGGGCTGAGTGGCCAGAGTCCCGGGAATATTCACATCGTCAAGCTATGAGAGATGAAGACCCACCGTGCAAACAGCTGGGGTGGTGGGTATGTGTTGGCGGGTGGGGAGTTACTTTCTGTTTGCTTTACAGTGAGAATTGGGGTACAGGAGCCGACTAGTTGCCTCCTGTCACCAGAATCCTCCCACAAGCCCACCAGGCCCACTGGTGAATTTCGAACTGGATCTGGCTGTCCCCAACCTATACGTACAGGCAGGCTGAAAACCCCACCCCTCCCGCTGAAGACATTTTCTACCTGGCTGAACCAGGTTTGGTGTTCGGCACTTTTTCTTTTTAATCCCTCATTTTATTTCGGCCTCCGAAAACCCCGCCAGGGCTATCCTGACCAGTGATCTATGCTCATTGGATTGAGTCAACATATTAAATCTTGGATTGATTGTTTTACTGAAGGACCTTGACAAATAGTGCAGACACTGTTGGATTAGGCCCCAGCCCGGCGTCCCTGCCGGTCTGTCCTGGGTCGGGCCTCGGCGGAGCTCGGGCCTGGCCCTCTTCTCCGGGGCTTGGCCCCAGGTCGGGGTTTTCTGGCGCCAAGACAGGTTCTGTCGCCCAGCGTCCCAGTCCTGCCGCAAAATCTGAAGGGTCTGGGAGTTGCCTGGAGGTGTTTAATGCCCCGCAGGCCGACTTTGTTCAGGTAAAACCCTTTGCAAACCACAACAAAAGCGCCCTGGGAAGATACAGGCCGGATCAGAGGGCGCTCTCCCCAGCCTCTGAAAGGGGAACACAGCCGCAAACAATGCAGGACAAGGCGATCTTATCAAAGAAAAGCCCTTTCAATGCCTTAATAACAACCGCTTTCTGTTTGAATTACCACTACTGAGCAAATGGCGGCCCCTGCTTTCATCCCCCTCCCCGCCAGGCGCATTAACATAAACACGGCCCGGCAGGCGCATTTGAATGGGCGCTAGGCCGGGATCCCGCGCCTGCAAAGAAAGTAAAGGGAACTAACACGTCCGGAGCGCCTGCTCCTTGGTGGGCGCGTTCACACGTGTAAGCGCCTTAAGCCCACTCGAGGCTGCCACTGGTACTCGCCCTCTTCACATACGAGGAAACTGAGACTCAGACAAGGTCAGCAGATAGTGAAAGGCGGGGCTGGCACTGGAGCCAGGTTGGAGCCACAAAGGACTCCTCCAGGGCTGGGGATCCTGGCGCAGGAGAGGCCCCCCGCCACACAGCCGAATACCCTAGAAGCATACTCGCATCTGGGCCTCGGAGTAGCTCGTGCTTGGGTGCTGCCCTTTCAGTGCCCTCGGCGGGTCGGGGGATGCGGTAACCAGGCCCCTATGCGCCCGGCGGCCGGCGCCCCAAGGGCCTTGGAGGCGCCCCACACCCCCTGGGAACCAGGGAGGGGTTGGAGTGGGGGAGGGATGAGAGGGACTTGTCAGAATTCATTATTGACTGCGAAAGTCACCACCCTCTTTCCGGGCCCTAAAAGAGACAATGGCAGGGCTGGGAAGGTGTATATCAAAGCGGGCCGGGCCGCGCACCCCCCTCTCCGCCCCTTGACAGATGATGCTCCGCAGAGGAGTCGGGCTCAGGCCCGCAGGCCGCGGCCTCCCCACATTAACATCACAAGGGCGCCCGGCGCCGACCACGGCCTTGCCACCTCTGCGCGGGACTTCACAGCGGCCTCTCATCTGCTGACCCCGCGGCCTGGGCTCCTACGGCTCCACTCCTCCCACCCCCTCACCCAGCCTTGCCGGCGGCCACTGTTCCCGGACGCTCAGAAGGTCTCCCTCGGGCCGTCCGAGTCCCCCGCCAGCGCGCCCCAGGCAGGCTCTCTAGAGCGCTGCCCTTCCGGCGCGCTCGGCTCGGAGAGGGGGCCCATCCTCCAGCAGAAGCGTCGAGGCTTCCCCAAGGCCTGGCCCTGTGGCCTTCTCCCCGGGCGGCCGCATTTCCCACCCGGACGCTCCTGGCATGTGCCCAATGACGCAGAACCCGATGCCCAGAGGCAGCCCCCGACAGCCAGTCTGATTTATATGGCTATAATGGGCTGTAAACCTCTACAGATTGGCCATACAGTGCATGCTAAGACAGACAGGAGGGCACAGAAAGAAGAGGAAGCGCGCAGGGCTGGGGGAAGCCTCAGTGAAATAAAAATGGAATGCCAGCAGGCCTCTCCCACCGCACCTATTCGCATTTCCTTCCCACCTGACACACATCCCGATACCAAACGCGGGCAGACCCGGAACCAATGAACCCACAGGCCGATCAACCTAGAGCCTTTGCAGGGACGTCTTCTAAGCAAGCTTCTTGGACGAACACGCACACGCACACAAACACACAACACGCACGCACACACACACGCACACACTCCTGAGACCCCTGCAAGGAAAACTGGGGAGAAATGACCCCTCACAGGAGTAGTGGCTGAATTCCCACCAGGGTTTCTTCCCCATCTCCTGCTCTCGCGGCAGACAGGAGGGAACTCCCGTGGCCTCTTGCTCAAAGCCCTCCAGCTTTTGCTTGGAATAACCTTTTACTTGGAATAACAGCTTTTGCCCTTGGCAGATCAGAGATTCAAAGACTGGAACGCGCTCCCTTCCCCTTGGTTCCTAGAGCCCAGCACCTCCTTTCCGGCAACAACTGCTTTCCCGATCTCCCTACTCGTCATGGCTCTGATCCCTTGAATTGACCCAAATTGCCAAGCCTGGCCCAGCCTCGAGCTCCTCCACTCCCCTCCTCCACCATTCAGCAAGCCTCCAGGCCACCTCTCTTTTGGGGAGTTCAGACAGAGAAGGAGGGCGCGGAGAGAACCGGTCTGGAAGCCGGCCGGGAAGTGCGAGGCTGCCTCTCTTCTGCGGCCAGGAGCTGCGCACCGAGCGCGCGCGAGGCAAGTGAGAAGGACGCAGTTCTGTTCCAGGCCAGCCGTGCTCTCGCCAACTTTCCCAGTAGCTACCCGAAGGCGTCCCTAAGTTATGAAAGAGGGACCCTGGGAAAGAGGAAGGGGGCAAATCCCCACTCTCTCTTCTGCCTAAACTGAACGCGTTGTTATGAGACCCCAAATATTCCCTCTCCAAGCCTCTCCAGCCCCCGCGCCGGACCTAGAGAAGCCTCGGGCGCCAGAGCCCCCTGCATCGGCTCCCCACTCCGCTGCCGCGGATCTTCCCGACACCCCGGGGCGCCCCTGAGCCCACGGCCGTGCGGGCCCTTCCCAGGGCGCCCTCCGGCGGGCGGCTGCAGCCGCAGCTCACCTTGGCTCCCGAGGGACGGCTGCGCCGGCTTCCGCATCCATTCGCACAGGTTCCGCCGCTGGCCGCCGGGGGACAACTGCTCGGCGGCGGCGGTGGCAGCGGGCCCGGGCGGCCCGGGGTTGAGTGTCTGCAGCAATCCCGAGGCGCAGGAAGGCGCGGCTGCCGGGTGATGAGGGTGGTGGTGTGGGTGGTGGTGCGGGTGGTAGTCGGCAGGGCTGCTGTAGCCCATGGCAGTGGCCGGGGATCCCCCGTTGAGGCCGTGCGCCACGGCGTTGGCGGCGGCCGCTGCGCCCCCCGGCGCGTAACCGTTCCAGTCCTCGCGAAGCGGGGCGCCGTAGGCTGTGGGCCACGACGGCCCCGGGGACTGAGCGCTGTCCAAGTTCGCTGCCGCCGCGGCCGCAGCAGCCACGTGGTAGCCGCCGTAGTCCGGGTACTGCGGGGGGCTGACGAAGTTCTGCGGCGCCAAGTTGAGGCCGCCAGAGTGGCGCACGGAGCTGGGGTACATGCTCACGTCCTTGTCCAGGAGGTAGCTCACGTACATGGTGGCAAAGGCCCAGGAGCACACCTCACCATGCTGCCTGGGGACGGACGCTGAAGGCTGCCGGGCGCGCGAAGGGGAAGGGCCGGGGGCACGAGGAGCGGCGGGTAGCTGCGCCCGGGCGGGCGATGTCCGCTGGCTCCTCGCGGAGCTTCTGCCTCGGAGGCGGTCCCTCCCTCTGGCCTGCCTCCTCCTTCCCTCCCTCCCTTTCTTCCTGCTTTTCTCCCACCTCCTTCCCACTTGGCTGTAGAGGCGGGGAAGACCCGCCACAGGCTGGCTTGCGGAGCCCTAGGCCGGCGACCGTACGTGATTAACGAGTGTTTACAAGACTCTGTTAGTAATGACACAGACACCAATGGCTGGAGACGTCGAGGCGCAGCGCGCGCTCGGCGCACAACCCCCCTGAAACACGATTTGCATTTTAAGAGATAAGGGGGGGGGGGGGCTTGCGAGAGGGCAGCGACCTGACCACAGCTAAATATTCAAACCTTTATTGTTAAGAGCTTCCTCCTTCCAACCTGATGCACTTTAACCTCCAATCACAGGTTCAAAGAATGAAACCAAGACACTTGCAAAGAGAGGGGGATTGTGAGCTGTCTTGGTGGGAATCTGGGTTTGGAGACTCGGGCTATGGTGTTTATGCATTTGCTGGGAAGGGGTCGGTTAAGAAACTCCTTCTGGAGGAAGAGAAAAGAAAAGGGAAACCACTGCTTTGATGAGAACTTTTCTGGCCAACCAACCCGGGAGGCGACAAGCTGAGCCACCGAGATGGGCCGATCCTTCCAGCCCTGCCCCTGGCCCAGGCGACTGCGCCCGGCAAACAACTGTCACTGCTAATCACTTATTTTCTTACTCGAGAAAACCAGTAGGCCCTCCGCACGAGATAAATTGTGACTAGCTTTGGGCTGCGATTTAAGTTAAAGCAATTTATCTTTTAAAGCATTTACAGTCAAGACTTAAAAAAAAAAAAAAAAACTTAAAAAAGCCACAAAACCGAAGAGCATGTGGTGGAAGTCAGGCGGGAGCCAGAGGAGAACGCCAGGGAACTGGGGACCTCTGGGTCTTGAGTAAGGGGCTGGGTACACAGCGTGTTCGGTTGTGACAGTTCAGTGGGCTGCACTTATATGTTTATTATACTTAAATAAATGGCGGAAATCAAGAAAAAGGAAGTCTAAAATTCCTACTGATGCTATGTAGGTATTTACATAAGTCGTACATTATAACTCTGCAAGTGCTAGGTATTTATGTCTTACATCATACATATATCTTAAAAACACTTTCTCCTTTGCAAAGTAATCCATTCTTTGAAGACCATTACTGTTGATCTACGGTGAGTGGCAGGGGAACCCGGGTCGTTATTAAACATTGCTTTTGGGAAACTCGGAGGGGAAGTGGGGAAGGGCTGAGAAAACGCCCCCCTTGGTTTTCGGAGCGCTGAGTTCAAGGGTCCAGGGGCTAGAAGTGGCCGCCGTGGGTGAGTGCTGAGTGGCCTGGCTCAGGAGCTGCCACCGCAAGGGCCTGGGCGGCGGGATTGGGCTCAGGCGCGCTCCGATCTCGGTTTCAGAGACGGCAGCGCGTGGGCCGGCGGGCTCGGGAGGCCTCCTCTCCGGGCCCCAGACCGAGCTACCAGACTCGGATCTGAGGATCGCGGAGCCGGCCCGGCGGGCTGGGCAGGCGGGCTGCGTGGCCTTGAGCGCTCCGGGAACGCGCAGGCACTCCCGCTTTCCTGAGGACCTGCACTTGTCGGTTCTCAGTGTCCAGCGCTTCTCTCAGCTATCCATCCCCGGTCATCTCACCCCGTCACATCTGGAGCGCTTTCCAGTGTTCTTTATCTCCCTTGTTCCTCACACTGCCCTGGAACGGGGACAAAGCCGGAGGTGTCATCCCCCCCATTTTACAGGTGACATCACCCCGGTGCATGGTGCAAACAGGTGGCGGCGGGATCAGAACTAGCCTGAGTCTGCGGGATCCTGGGCTTGCTGGTTCCTCCGCCCTTTGTGAGTCCTGAGGGCAAATGGGGAAAGGGAGCGGGGTTGTATGTGCGTGTGCGTGTGCGTGTGCGTGTGCGTGTGTGTGGGGAGGTGGACTCGGCTTTGCTCCACGCAGGAGCGCGCGAGTGGCGAGTTCCAGAAGCGGGAGACGAGATGGCCATGCATGCGGCCCTCCCCAGCCGGGTGGAGACAGCCGAGTGTCATCGAACATCCCTAGAAATAAAGTCGGAAATACATTGCAACCTCCGTTACAGAGCTCAGATCATGGAGTGGTGATGGGAGAAAGAAAGGGGATGTCCTCAGTCCAGATGGGGTGGGCCTGGGGGAGGTTAAATGGCGGGCGCTGCGGACTTTTGATCTACCAAACGTCTCCCTCTTCCTGGAGACCCAATCTCTCTTTCTGTCCCCACACCCCTCTCCCAGGCACCGCATTCTCAAAGCCCAGGCCGAGGCTCAAGCCAGGGTCTTAGGAATCCTGGCATTCTTTGGAACAATCGCTTTATTGGGTATAGCCATCCCCTCCGCCCTGCGGTGGCCGCTTCCTGCGTTTTTATGGCTCTGGCCGCCGGCCGCTGGCTAATTGTCCCGGTTTTCCAGCTGTGTCTCTGTGCTTGCCCGAGGGAAGAGCTCCGGCCTGAGTGCCCAGCTCCATGGGGAGTGGCCAGGGCTGGGGGCCAGCGGACCCCAGGTCGGCTGAGGTGCAGGGAAGCCGGAGGCTCGCTTGGGGTGCGCAAAAGAGAGGCAAGACTTGGGAGAGGAAACCGCCAGGAAAATCATCGGTGTCTTTCACTGTAAAAATGAGCCCCGTAGCAGTAACAGAGGCCTCTGCCCGCGGTCCTGGGGTCTGGGCTGTTTGGTGACGGGAAAGGAGCTGATAAGTGATGTCCTTGGACAGTCTCCTCAGAATGGAAGTGTCCCCCACATCCAGGTGGCCCTCTTAGTCAAGAGTGGCTGGGTGGCGGACCAGCAGAGAAAGGGGGAAGGTGGCTGACAGGAAGGCAGTCTATGTGCCTTTTCATGGCATTTTAATATGGCGGTGGCAGTGCCGGTCACCTCCAGCGCAGGTGCGCAGCAGTGGGAGGAGGCCCGGCTCAGGGCGTCCTCAGCCCTAGGCCCGAGGCGCTGGGCGGGTTTCTTAGTGCTAGGCAGCCTGCCCTGTGGCCTGAGCCTAGAACCCCCGGAAGGGACGGAGATGCGACCCCACCCCCGCTGCTGGCGGCCTGGCCTTCTAGTCTTTCAGAGTCTCCAGGCCCAAGAAGAGCAAGCCTTCAGCAAACCCCTCAAGGAGGCTAGGCTGGTCTGGAGCTGCAGCCAGGGCCCCGAAACTAGAGCTAGAGCAGAAAAGGGTGGGGAGAAAGAGACCCAGACCCCAGTAAAGAAAACACCAGGAAGACCCAAGATGCAGCCACAACCAGGTTTTCAAAGGGACATCTCTTTGTTACTGACACTGCGGCTCCCAGAGGCCACTGTACATTCCTGGGAGGGGGTCCAGGCTTCCAGGGTCTGGGCTGTGGCCAGGGCAAGGGCGGGTGGGTGGGGAGCAGGTGACAGACAGAAGGGGCAGGCTTCTCGGAGATGATACACTCCTGGACTCCACAGATCCTTGACGCCAGAGCTGGTGTTTGCTCCGGCTTGGGGGGCCTTGCTCTGCCCATATTTGTGGCTCCTAGAAACTAGGAGTCTGTGACCCTTGCAACGCAGATAGGGCAGGCCGACTCCATCCACGTTAACATGCAGGTCTCCTTTGTCAAGCCCTTTGAGATCAAGGAAAGTGCCCAAATAATACGGCCGTTCCATACACCTCTTCTCCCCTGAACAGGAAACCTTCAGCCTGCATTGACCTGGATTCCCAGGATCGTTAAGGAGGAGTGAGAAGGAAGAGAATATGCCTGATAAAATGATTCAGCTTGGCAGTCTACACTGCTATGGAAAAAGGGCTCGATCTCTACCTAATTTGGAGAGTAGGGAGTCCTTCAGCCGTTGCACTCAGTCGGAAATCTCACACAAAAGAAGGCTCAACAAAGGATGGTTTGACCCTAGCCACCCCCACCCTGCCCTGCGTCAGCCCACTCAGCTAACATCTCTGGAAAGGAAATCGATAACAGTGTCCTTTCTCTGGGCCCTCCCCAGGGCCCACCACCTGCCCAGCCCCATCAGGCTACAATGGAGCCCAACGAGTTCGTCCTGAACAGCAGGAAGGGGCTGCAGCTGCCCACAGCTGCCCAGACTTCATTCACAGGAGAAGATGTGTCCTGCCCAACCCAGTGAAGAACATTATTCCCCAAGCAAACTGGGTGTCTGGTTCTCTCTACCTGAGGCAATGTTCCTGAATTCCTGGGAGGTCTTTGGTGGACCAGAGCTTACCACACAGGGACCAGGGTGCAAGAAGAGTGTGGTATAAGGCAAAACAGCTGCCTTACACCTATGGTGGAGGAACAGCCAAGCTTTCTGATTCCACGCGAGGAATACATTTTTTTCTTACTGTTCCACCCAAAATATATCTGAAAGCCAGGAGAGCTGGGGAAATAAAGAACTCCAGGCGAGCTAAACCAAAACCAAACCCGTTGCTGTCGAGTCCATTCCGACTCATAGCGACCCTACAGGACGGAGTAGAACTGCCCCATACGGTTTCCAAGAAGCAGCTGGTAGATTTGAACTGCTGATCTTTTGGTTAGCAGCCGAGCTCTTAACCACTGTGCCACCAGGGCTCCCAAGAAGATGATATTTGGGTACAGAAATCTGGTTTTGCTCATTGGCTAAAAGTTATGCAAATAAATGGTGGTTACCATTTTCTCCTAGCTTTTGTCTGAAATTCGGGTCTATGAGCACCGTTTGGGCATTTTAGAATACATTTTAATTCTGTGTCAATGGGTGAGCACAGACAACGATTTAAAGCACTGAGAGGTACTTGGGATCTCATGGATTGGGCTCTCCTGGGAATGGAGCTTCCACCGCAGAGGAGAATGCTTGATGCTGGAGAGAACTAGGCTGGAAGGCCTTCAGTTAATATTTGGTCCCACACCAGTATCTCGTGCCTGGAGTGACCTGTGTTTATCATATGAAAATATGTTCCTAGGAAGCCCTACAGTGTACGTTTTATGTGGCGAAGGGAACGTACTCCGGTAAAGGTTCAGCTCTCACTGGGCCCACTTCAAACTGATCTCCCTAAAGGGGAGCCAGGGCCCTTGGTTCTGTGTAAACCTTCCATTTTACAAAGGAGAAATCTGAGGCACGGAGAGGTTAGGTGATTTTCCCAAGGTCTCACAGCTAGCTATTCAAGTCCCTAAAATTAAAGCGTCCTGTGGCACAATGGTTAAGCGCTTAGCTTCTAACGGGGAGGTTGGTGGTTCAAACCCACCCAGCAGCTCTGAGGGAGAAAGACCTGGCAATCTGCTCCTGAAAAAATTACAGCCTAGAAAACCCTACGGGGCAGTTGTACTCTGTTGCATGGGGTTGCTATGAGTCTAAATCAACTCAAGGGCACTTAACAACAACAACAAAATTAAATGAGCTACTCTATGTACAGTCTTTGCAATCCATAGCACTCTGTACAGATGTTGCTATTATTGCTACAGCTACCGGTGTCACTCTGGAAACCTCCTCTCCTCAACAGGAAACCAACTAGCACGATCCACAGAGTTAGAATCTGCACTCCCTGCCCCTCCAAATAGTGCCTGAACTGTCAGATTCTGCTCCTGGGACAGCACTGACCACTCTCCACGTCCTATATATCTCTCACTTTTACAGGCAACCTCTAACTGTAGTTTATTAGTTTACAGAATGGGGAAGCTCAGACTAATGCCGTGAATTTCCCCAATTGCCAAATGTGATATTCATCTGCTTTAGTCCCACAGTAAATACTGTCTGAAAAGAGCTCTTCTTTATATATGAGTCGGAACCCGATATCCTGTGGCTGATCTCGGAGGGAACGTGACAAATTTAAAATGAGTAAAGGCTATGCCAAGAAACTGTGCTGCCTTTTCCCCCTGCTTTCCTTCCCATATTAGTGTCTGTGGACTCTTTTTGGGAGCAGAGATTTTTAAAAAGTTTTCTGGTTAAATAAAATGTGGTCGGGTTCAATCTCTGGGTTCCACAGGTGAGCGCCCAGCTCGTTTTCAGCTCGTGGATTCCTAGCTGGAGCTGCGCTGTCCGAGTTTTTTTTTACTAGGAACAATCGCCCAGCTGGGCTTGGATATTTCCAGGGGGAGTTAAAATCGACAGAGCCCTCACCCCTTAGGGGCGCGTGCATGGAGGGGTTGTGGGTTATGGAAGTTTAAATCAGCCCCTGGCCCTCTTTTTACCGTTGCTATCGTTGTTGTTGTTTAACGAATTCGTAAGTAAAGTATTAATTATTCACCCCGGAATTTGCACCAACCACGTCTGTGTCCCTTACGTTGGCTAGGCGCGCCCCGTGAGGGCCCTGCACCCGGCGGCTGGGGCTGGCGCGCGCGGTGGGGAGCAAGTCGGTGGGTCGCAGTCCCTGCGGCCAGGGCATCCTGCGCAGCGAGGGCGGAAGGACAGAAAGTCTCCGCCAGGCCGAGGCCGGCAGGGGCCCAGGGCGTGTCGCTGTTTGAGTCAAGATGTGGCTGGAGAAGATTGCCCTGGGGGCTTGGGCAGCCACAGGCTACCGGGCCGCCCGAAGAGCGGCCTCCGATTCTTCGTTGCTCCGGGAGGAGAATGGAGGAGCCACCAGTGGCTTTTGCCACGGCCCTTCCGAGCCGCGCTCTCCGGCCCTTGCCCTGCGACCCGCGCAGCCCTCGCCGCGTCTTTGGAAGAGGGACCTTTTGGAAGGGGCGGATCCAGGGCTCCCCCGCCCGCATCCATTCCTCAGAAATAAACCATTTCCCCAACTAGCTATGAACTGTTGAAATGCAATTGTGTAATTGGAGACGACTGGCTCGCCCCTATCTCAACTGCACTCGTGCCAAAAATACCTCCGGGGGCTCTTTGCCTGAGCGGGTCCTGCGCGTCTTACATGGAGTACATTTGCTGTTTGAGTAAAGAGCCGAACTCTCCATTTTAGGGGCCCATGTAAGAGCTGGGTTCACTCCCTGGATGGGCCTTGAGTACAGCGCATTATGCTGAGTCTCAAGCTCAGCCTGTGGCACTGGGATTAGAAAATCCTCTTCTTCCAAGGTTTCGTGTGTGTGTGTGTGTGTGTGTGTGTGTGTGTGTGTGTGTGTGTGTGTGTGTGTGTGTGTGTGTGTCGGGGGGCGGGGAGATAGCGGGGTGGAAAGCCCCCAAGTTACCCTGGCCAGAGGGAGACTCGCGTCTAGCCCCAGGTCCCAATTGCCTGGGGGCCCAGAGGACAAGAACTGAGTCATACAGCTCCCTTCACGATGCGCACCTGGTGCTCCCTACACCCAGAGAAGGTGGGAGGCCTGGTCTGCGGGGCGCTGTAGGTGCAGCGGCTGCCCTGGCACCGCCCGCATCACGGCTTCACCCTTCCCATTAGCAGGGAACACCTGTGAGATGGGAAAGGGGACTAGGAGTTCCTTGACTAAAATGTCTAATTCTCCAGGAGCGGTTTCTTTCCGTGGAATCCAAGGGAGCAGCCGCACTTCTCTTCGTGGACCGGAAGTTGCCCTTGCTACTGCTGTAGCCCTGGAGCTGGTCACTAATGGAGGCTCTTGTCTTCAAAAGGAACCACCTGCCTTCTCATCTTACCCTGGCTGCGCTGGCTTCTTTCTCCTCTGCCACAGAAGCCTAAGTAGTATTTGTTGAGGCTGTTAGATCCTCAGTGTGTGTGTGTGCGAGAGAGAGAGAGAGAGAGAGAGAGAGAGAGAGAGAGAGAGA